TCAGTGATGGGTAGATGGGCGAAGATGCGCCTTGTCGCTGAATGCCTGCGCGCGGCGACCGGGTGCGACTTGAACGAGGCGCGAGTTGCAGCGCGATGCGGCGTTTTTCGATGAATGGTTTAGCAGGTAAAGGTTTATTTCGACTCGGGAATTCCTTAAAAAATATCCTCAGACCGTTTCGAACGCGATATGGGAACGGAGCAGCATTTCAGCGCGGCAATCGAAGAAAGTGCGGGGGTCTGATGGACAAAAATGTCCCATCATCTTCGTCAATGTCGAATAAATGAATAACAGGCTGGCCCACGAGGGGTTCCTGGACAGCCACATCAACCCGAGGGTCAAGACGACATGCCCTAAGGGTCACTTCGCATTTCAACAGCACAGAGCACCCTCCAACAACGCCGCCGCCATTCAAGCTAAACTGACAGAGGAGCTTGCCGGGCCAGATCACCGTGGCGAAATGAGATTAGGCCGCCTTATTCTCCTAACCTGACCCGCTCGACTAAGGCGTGCTACGCCTTTTGTAGAACAGGATCTAGGCCATTTCTCACCCCAACCTGGAGTCGCTGAAGACTCGCATCATGACAGCATGGGAGGACCTGGAAATGCCCCGCATCGTCAAAACCCGCAGACGCTTCCTCCCCTACGTCGAGGCCGTCGTCGGCGCCGACGGTGGTTACATTGAATGAGCACGTAGCGGAAGCATGTGTCTTGGTGTCCCTGGTCATTGTTTTGATCCATTGATTAGTATCTATGAACCAATGGCATTTGTTTTAGAAAATGTTGAAAAGCGCCAGAACTATCCGGACACCCTGTATTTCCTGACATCGAGCTGGTAGTGTGGCATATACTGTCGATGTAGAGCAAACCGACCACCGCAGAGACAGAAGCATTGTCGCATTCCATCAACGTCAAATCTGTTGTTGTGATACAGCTGGTTGATTGTGAGCCACGTTAGGCACCGCAGTTAAGTCTGCCATCAATCGCGTCGCGGGTCTTCTGAATATACATTGTCATGGCCGGTGTCATCAAAACGGCAGCAGATTTATTCATTACGGGAAGCCAGATGACACGGTTCTGACAGGGTGTTTCAACATTGTCATTGCAACATCGGCATTACGGTACCTGCAAAGACGGCCTGCATAATCACTCAGCCGGTGGCAACCCACACGATGCTCATATGCTTCGCGTGATGCGAAAGGCCTGCTTATATTCCCAGCGGCTCTTTTGGTAGGCAGATTAGGATGATGGACTGACTAAGCGCTGCTGTTAACCAGACACCGTCTTGTTTTCATCGTTGTTCATCGTTCATCGAACATTCCACCGCTCTCTTCCATATTATTCATCTTAAACATACCATCACAGTCTTTTATTTCTTTCTTTCAGGTCAACCGTCACAGACGAAACCATTTTCACGCTGCTGACTTCCAATTATCTTCATAATGTTTAGACTTGGCCGTATATGTGCATAACGAACGCTGAGGCAATATGGCACCACGCACTGGTATCTTTCCCAGGACCCAACCACAGGCATCCCTGTCTGTCTACCGCGCCCCTCCCCTACGCCCGCTGCTGCCCCTCTAATACCCGCGCCTCCCGTACCGATCTGCAGCAGCGAGTACGACGACCCTTCATTCCGGAGTTTTGCGAGGAGTCTCTAATCCGCCCGTCACGCGTTTGACTCCCGGCCTGGGATCGTCTCAACTGTGGCGAGAGCGTCGCTTGCTGTGTGACAGCAATGTTATGTCAGGCAGCGTTTGCAGACGTGGAGGTGTGTCCGCCCGGTCGTGCAACATCGTCAGGCAAACGCTGCAGGCGTTGGTCCCGGTTGCGGCCACGCTGCTGAACCCTGGGTGGCATTACTGGTCCTGAGCGGAGGCACCGCTGCTGGCGGCCAACGTGGCGGTATCATGCCTATTCACTGGCAATTACCACGTGAGAACGAAGCGGGCGGGCGGACGCACCGCATGGTGTTCAGTCTAACGCTCACCGAGCGCGACGGCCGGCCGGCGCGTGCCAGGTGATTCAGACCGGTTTGGTGAAACCCGGTGAAGCGTCACTTCTCGCGTCAGCGGGACAGGTGACTCAGGGGTGCGGACCAGGCAGCCAGCAGCGGCGCTGAAAGGCGTGCACTGACCTGTTCTCTTAGAGAGACGCAGACTGTCCGTACTTGGTCAGTGGTGAGTCATCTCGCATACCGCTGGTCAAGAGAACCCGTCCCCGACAAGGGAACTCCGTTCGCGAGAACGGTTGACGCATGGCTGAGGGTCACAGATGGCTCAATGCGGCTTTCTCATCTTTGTCGTCACCCTAAAAGCCAGCTTACTCTTCGTTACTGTTACTCATGCGGTCATCACCTCCGATGCTGCTTGATAATCACGTGCACAAGATCAACTGGTAACCCTTTGATCCGGTCACAGCTCCATTGCATTGTTACCTGCGTCCTGTGACGGCGCTGATGTAAGCAAACTTCTAAGGTGACCTCTGCTGCTATTACTTCAGTATTGCATGTCATATGCCCTATGAACAACTGGGCATCACGATTCACTAGCCGCTCATTACAAGCCATTCCCGCGCTGTGGCATGAGCCTGACCCAAGTCTGACCCAAGTCACCGTGCCTGACCGTGACACGATACGTCGTCCAACGTGCATTCCCACAACATTTTCGATGCCGAGCTTGAAACTGCCAAGTGGAAGGGGTGAATGCTCAGTGCTCACAGTTCACACGTGCGAGCGTTGGCGAATGGCAAGTGTGCTTTGACTAGGTCTAGGAGACTGCGTTAACGAACAATGACCACATGTGCAGTGCCGCACCATCTGGGTAAATTTCAGCCCCGTAATAGTTCCAGCCTTCCCGTCACCACAGTCGCCGCGCGATCCTGCGGCTGTCTTCTCACCGCTACCACCCTCCTTTGCCGCTGTCGCCGGGCCGGGTAGGACGCTCGCCTTTCCTCAGCTGCGGCGTCGCGGCGGCTGCAGCGGCGCGCCGGGCCCGACTTCCGGTGGGTCGGCACGGTTCCGGTCCGTGAGCTCGGCCTCAGAGATACGGCGGGCGACTCCGGCGGGAAGCCAAGGCCACGACGACTGGTATGTCGGCGACACGGGGCCCGGTCCCGGCCGGTCCTGTCGGCTGGGGTACCGGTGGCACTGGTCGAGTGGGCTGATCTTTTTGCTTTGGTGGGTGGGTGTGAGATTCTTCCGGCACTTCTGCTGGGCCTGGCTTGACCGGTGTATGCAGTTGGTTCCTGACATACCTACTATGGACGTCAAACCCCTTGAGACCCCACTTTTTTGCGATAATTTTTTAATGCGTCAACTCTCGTTGACAATATTCTGGCAATGTGTGTTTCAGAACCTGCCGAAACTTTTATTACTAAGGTATTTTGACGCCAAACGATTATGAAAGGTACTTCTCATTCACTCGTAATGTTAAATTTCACGGAACAAATCTGCTGTTTGGGTAGAGGCTACGCGCTCATGGGGCGGAGCCACGTAATGACGTCAGCGCTAAGCTCCGCCCTACCCCTCCGGCGCTCCTTGCCCGGCGACCGGTCACTCGCGTCTCTCGCTCCATTCAGGCTTGATGGTGGGCGGAAGCTGGTAGCGGTAGCGGGCGCTGGTAGATGGCATTTAGAGCAGATGGCGCTGGTGGCGGGGCTCGAGTGTGGCCGAGCGCAAGCCTCTGCCCGGGCCTGAATTGACCTTAGCATTACGAGTGAATGAGAAGTACCTTCCATAATCGTTTGGCGTCAAAATACCTTAGTAATAAAAGTTTCGGCAGGTTCTGAAACATACATTGCCAGAATATTGTCAGCGAAAGTTGACGCATTTAAAAATTATCGCAAAAAAGTGGGGTCTCAAGGGGTTTGACGTTCATAGTAGATGTGATGTTCTACCGAATGCTGGAAAGTTTCAAGCATAGCAGAGGATGGACAGATGCGCACGAAATGGAAGGTGAAGGGGTCAGTGAAACATTGCGAAGAACTGAAGTTTTCGAAGATGCTTAGTGACGCTGCTTGCAGTTATGTAATGTCAAGTGTATATCCTGAGATGGCTTCCCGTCAAATACCGACGGCGTTAGACGATTGCAGAGGATGTAGACATAGCACAATGAATTATGAATTATACAATACATGAGTGACTGATATATCTGAATCGTTTGGAGCGAATTCAGAGCACAAAACATACTATTAAAAACATTTTGATGCAGGGCACTGGACACTGAACTGAGGGTACGACACTCGAACTTATAGCTGAAGAGTCGAGAAAAAAAAAACGGATAGCGACAGCGTCGCTCCCGGCACCCCTGCACGTGTCCCACGTCATTTCACACGTGCCTCTCGCCCCGCGCCGGCAGACGTCACGGCCGACACGTGCTGATGAGGGTGACGGAGTCACAGCACGCGTGCCACGTGACAAATGCCTTGTTTGTGTCGGCGCGGGTCGGGCTTTCAGCACCACTTTGCCGTGCCTCGCCGCTAGAATAACGTCGTTCTACACAGACACGGTCGAAACAAAAGCGAACAAATGTGGCCCGTCTGTGGCCTGGAATAGATGGTGATATTCTTTGTCGCCTTGCCAGTGGTGATAATATTTCATTCCCGGAGAGGAGAGCGGGAATATGCATTGGCGCTGTCCGATCTGATGAGGTCTGGGGCAATATTATTTCTGTGGAGGTGAAAAGTGGTCTGCTTTCATTCTGGTGATGGCGAGGCATTGTCAAACGAACCATTATTATCTGTTTTTAGAGGCCGGGACATGCATGTCGTTTGTCTGTCAATGTCAATTTTGATATATGTTCGTTCCGCATGTGTATCCTTATAGCCATATTTGTGATGTTGCCTTGCACCACTCATGTCCGTTTCATTTGCCCTGTGCTGAGTTTATTACTACCCCTTCTACTCCTATTCGTTCCAAGTGACCTGCGCTGACCTCTATCAACCTCTGTCATGACCTCTGTCATGACCTCTGCTGACCTCTGTCATGACCTTTGTTGCAGGGAGCCGGCCGGATGACGGCGTCCCGGACATGACCGTCATATCGGACATTGACGAGGCCGGCATCAACCGTACCCTGCACGTCCGATACGACCACGACCGGATATATGTATCCTTTGCACGCCAGGCGCGCCCCATGGTGTGACCGGCAGACGGGGAAGGGTGTCTATCTCTGCTCGAAATGACTGCCATATATAGTGATATCATCAGTGTCATTATTTGACCTGAAGCGAAAGCGCATAACAATTTGATCATCGAAGATTGAAGCTTGTTAGATAAAGCTGCTTTAGTCGTTGGGACAAAGGATGCTCGAACCACTTGCCCTTTTTTCACTGAGAGCAATACGGCTCCGAAGTTCAAAGAGGGCGGACACTGGACATAAATGGGTCAACGGGTCACTTTGAGCGCTCGGCTAACGTTTGAAGACGTGCAATCGTGTGCACTGTGCAGCCTATCTGACGGATGGTCGTCTGGACTCTGTCAGCATCGGGCTCTGCCGGTCGAGGAGTCTCACAGTTTGTGCTCGCTAGACGTGGCGGGGTGGGGGGGGGGGGGCTACACTCGGCCGTTTCCGGGACCGGAGATCGCTCTGTATCGACTGCCGCCGCGCTGCTGGAGAGGGAGTAGAGAGTCGTGCCCACTCGTTCTCGGTGTGGCAATCCGTCCTCCCTGGAATTCTCTCCTGGACGTTCCCACTCGGCGCCGGAAGGGGCCACTTCCTGTTCCAGTTCTCCGACGGTAGTGGTGCCGATTTCCGCCGGAAGCGAGATGTAGAGATGTAGCGAGACGAAGGAGGCTCTCCTTTCTTTCATTCTGTCAGATTTGAAACTCTCGTCTCGCTTCTAGCACCCCTGCGCTTTCCACGCCAAGAAATGGAGCCGTATTTTTTCAGCTGAAATTTCCCCATATGTTCTCAATTGCTTGGTTTCCGGATGTACCTAGCTCAGAAAACTGGAAAGTTCGCTAGCTTCTGAATCAAGTTCGAAGGTGTGCTGACTCTGAGTTTGGTCTCAGACATCTGAAGTGACAGTTTGTGGCCCTTGAACGTCCGCGGAACTTTATGGATTGGGTGATTGCCCCCGGCATTGGCAAATTTGTGCTTCCTTTTACCAGACGGAACGCTCCCGAAATTCGGCTGCTAGTGCAGATGATGCCATTTTCGTAAAATATTGAAAGTATTTGAAATGGACTGTCGCAATGCGTCAAGGATGGATGCAGCCCCTGCCCATGGTATTGGTTCGATCGTTCGATACATCTGGAAAAGATGCTTGTGAAAGTTTCATGTTAGTCCAGGGTATTAGAAGAGTAGTAGGCATAATGACGGAGCAGTCTATTTTCGTCCATCATTGCGAAAGTAATTGCAGCCGTTCTTTTGAAACAATGACCCTTGCCTGAAAACGTTTTAGGAGCATGCAGTTGAGGATACAATCGTCCATTTAGTCATGCTGCTTATGACATTTACCAGGAGTGGACACGAGATCTGTCTTGTGCTATGTGGCTCGTGTCAGGCGCTGACTGCATGTCGTCTGGTATAACTGATCTGTCCGACCATTTCTGACGGTAACTTGCTCTGCATCGATTCTTTTGTGGGAGCATATCTGTTTCAATGTCTAACAGTAGCTGACCAGAAAAGGCGCTGGACATGAGCACTAACATTGTTGACCGCACTTTACCTGTCTGTCCTGCCACTTTACCGTCTCGTTGGTCCGATCGGCTGTTTAGGTGGACCTGTCTGCCACCGAACAACTGTCGATTTACCGTTATAAATGCTCCGGTAGCGGTACTCGATGAATACGAATCGCCGCGCGCTGCTCTGACTCATGCCTGAGACATGTACACTAGCGCTAGTTAAGATGCATTGCTGTTTTTGGTCTGCTAGGTGACAGTAGACAGGACTCATGTCGGCGAGCTGGCAGCACATCATCTCGAAACACGGGGCTGTATTCCACCCAAGATGTATCGTCGAGCCGCTCAGAACGGACACCGATGACCTCGGCCGTCCGTACATACAAAACCCCAACTCACCATCATCATCATCGGATCTAGAGCCAGCATGTGGTGGCCGATCCCTGAGTGCTAGCGTCCAAGCTGGGCCGTTCTTTCGTCGACGTTTGCAGTCGATCAGTATGTTCAAGTGAGCATATTACGCAGAAGCTCTAGACTCTCCTTTCTCTCTCTCCCTCTCTCTCTCTCTCTCTCCCTCTCTCTCTCTCGCTCTCGCTCTCGCTCTCGCTCTCTCTCTCTCTCTCTCTCTCCTCTCTTCTCTCTTCTCTTTTCTCTCTTCTCTCTTCTCTCTTCTCTCTTCTCTCTTCTCTCTTCTCTCTTCTCTCTCTCCCTCTCTCTCTCTTTCTCTCTCTCCTCTCTCTCTCTCTTTCTCTCTCTCCTCTCTCTCCTCTCTCTCTCCTCCCTCTCTTCCGCCTTTCCTTCTCTCCTCTCCTCTCTCTCACTCTCACTCTCACTCTCTCTCTCTCTCTCTCTCTCTCTCTCTCTCTCTCTCTCTCTCTCTCTCTCTCTCTCTTTCTCTCCCTCCCTCCCTCCCTCCCTCCCTGCTCTATTGACCCTTTATCTCCTCCACCGCTGCTGGTCCTTCTCTATCTCCACTTTCAGCCCACTCCCTCTCAGACTCCACTCCCAGCCCTGGCGGCCTGGTGTTGCGTCCAGCCTGGTTGCGACACCGCGCCGTAACATGCACGCTGCGCCGGGAGGCTGGCGGCCGGCGGCATCACAATCACTCTCCCTCTCGCGCTCACCTCCGGACCGACCGCCGCATACCACGTGACCGCCGCCGAGGCTGTATGCTGCAGTCACGTGACAGCACCGTGGCCGTACGCTGTGATCACGTGACGTGTGACGTGCGGCGGTGTGTCTGTTCTTATCACTGGAAGCTGTGAGGTGGAGCGTGATGATGAGAGCAGACGCGGCGTCTATCTGCTACGCTGATGCGGCGCCCTGCGCCAGCCACTGGGGATCACATAGTTGATGCTGGTGTCTGGTCAGTGTAGATACCTAGATGCGGCGCCCTACGCCAGCCACTGGGGATCATAGTTGATGCTGGTGTCTGGCTGGCGCAGATGCCTCGTCAGTAACGAACGGCTTCCATCCAGACTCGCGGCGCCGGCCGGCCGGCTGGACGCAGTGACGGTGCTGCCGCAGTGAATGTGATGACTCACTCCCTACCCGACCCTAGTCGTGAGTGGCCGTCCACGGCCCCGTGGCCACGTCTATAAACCGTCGGCGAAGCCCCATCTGACTCATTAGCGGCTGAGCTAGTGAGCTATGTGAGCGTCCAGTCTCACAGCTGTAGTGAGTCATTCTTTCTTCCAGGCTTGAAACGTGCCCGGCTTATAACGTGGTGTTTCGCTTTGTTTTCTTTTTTTGCACGTTTGGTGTGGGGCTTACATGACGTTCGATTTGGAGGAACATGACGGGCAGATTTGGCGGCTTATTCCACCCGCACTCGACGGCGGCCCGTGGTGGTAAACCCTGCCAGTCTGCTGCTGCAGCCACGGCTGACCAGGCTCTTGTAGCTGACGGGTTCCCTGTAGCTGAAGTGAACGCTGGAGTGCCTTGGTGGTGGAGTAAGGGACTCTGAAGCACTCCATGGAGTGCCTCACTCCGACCACCCCCACTCTCCGTAAATAAACAGACTGACAGTAACTCAGCTGGTGGTGCAGAACTCAAACTCATCATGGGTAGCTGAAGTCAGCATAGAACAGCAGAGTTGAATTCGGCCCACGCGTAGTTGGCCTCTTCACTGGCTGACGCTCGATATTTCCTGCCTCCCAGCTTCTACAGACCCAGCCACCTAGCTTAGCAACTTTAACCTTTCCAATTCTGCCCACCGTTGCTGGACCATCGATCGTTAATGGTGACGTCTGTCAGCGGTCATCCAGGGTGACTATCCTGCCCTCTCCAACAGACGTCCTTCGGGCTTTGTCAGCCCCTTCGGGCTCCAACAGTCTCTGTCTCACATCCCCCTCTGCGACAGACCCCTCTGACGCCCTCTCCAGCCGGGTTCGCTGCAATGGGCCCTCCAGCGCCGAGGCCCCGACCCTTTGGGGGCTGTGGGGTTACGTCGATAGTCGCCGGCCGCGGCTGAACGAACCGCTCGCTCGCGGCTGCACCGCTATCTGGCGCTGAAACGGCCACACCTTTCCCCAGTGATGCAACCGGCGCCTGTGATCGTTCCCATGCGCCTCGCATGAGCGGCGTAAACGGACAATTTGCATGCGCCGCCTGATTGAAGCCGGGGCGCGGGTAATTGGTTTCGTTTAGAAACGTCAACTGGATGGCCGATTTTCATACTTGATAACATGGTAGAGCAACCTCACGTCGAACTACAAAACACGATGTGGCAAAGAAGGGGTGGGGTCCGCCCGCCGCTCTGCATATGATGGCTCGGCGGGTGTGAGCCAGCCGCTCTGTTTATGATGAGTCACTCGCTCCGTTTACCTAACCTCATGCTGAGGCCAAACATCGTCTATTGGCCGACATTCGTTCAGTGCATGCCATATGTGACAGGGTGGCTGACGTGGTGTTATGTCCTTCAGTCCCCCGCTCTCGTAACGACTTCTCCAACGCCTTTCTCTTCTCATAGCGACTGAAAGGGATGCCACACCCTTCCCGGTCCGGTTGCAGCAAAAGAAGCGTACCAAACCCATTCCAGGCACGGTAACGACATACTGAACTAACTTTAGCCCTATCTCTTGATGAAGCACAGTGAGGGAGGCACGCCGAGGCGATTTCTAACTCTCAGTCTTGAGGCTGAGGTCGCATTGACCCGGCTAGCGCAAACACGGCACTCCGAACGAAGGCTTTCTGAGATATTCTCTCTCTCTCTCTCTCTCTCTCTCTCTCTCTCTCTCTCTCTCTCTCTCTCTCTCTCTCTCTCTCTCTCTCTCTCTCTCTCTCTCTCTCCCTCTCTCCCTCTCCCTCTCCCTCTCCCTCTCCCTCTCCCTCTCCCTCTGTCGCTGTCGCTGTCTCTCTGTCTCTGTCTCTGTCTCTGTCTCTATCTCTATCTCCGTCTCCGTCTCTCTCTCTTTTTCTCTCTCTCTCTCTCTCTCTCTCTCTCTCTCTCTCTCTCTCTCTCTCTCTCTCTCTCTCTCTCTC